AGAAATGGAGAAATCATACCTAAGGCTACTCAAGTACAGGACTACGTTCTGCGAGGAAGACTGTTTGATAATGTTTGCCTATGGGATGCTGTTGCACGACTGCAAAAAACCAAGCTCGTCCGAAAGCAGAAACACATGGGTAATGGTGGAAGTTGTTCACTGTCTGTCAGTGATGTCACAGAAGAAGCCCTTGAAGATGATGATGATGATGACTCACCAGAAGTATGACAATCGGATGTTGAGACTACCATGTCTAACTTGGATGACCATGTCACAGATTATAGAGTCAAACATCATGAGAAAGACCCTCTGACCTCAGAGATGGTGGAAGCAGCCCTTACAACAGCATGCCACAAGCAGCCATCTGATACCTTCTTTACCACCCACATGCAGCACAGTACTCACATGCTGAAGCTGCGGAGGCCTAGCGCTAGACGGGTGCCTGTCCCTATTGGACCTAGTATTCCACAACGAGATCGTCCCCATCTGCAGCCTCAACATAGTCGGCTTATGCTCATCTTATTCAAGCCGTGGCGTTCAGCAAGTGACTTGCGTAAACCTCACCAGTCATGGAAGGATGCATTCGATGAATTCCTAGAAACATGTCCAATTAGGCTGAGGAAGGTCATGGATAACATGCAGATCCTGCACGAATGCAAAGACAGTCGTGATGACCACTTTGCTAACCGACGTTCTCATGCACGTAAGTCCCGGATATCCCAAGAGTTGATGAACGCACCACACGCAGAAGACGATTTCATAGGAGAAACAGATGAAGCTGACATCCTTGAGCATCTGGAGTCTATTGAGTCATCTACATCCTTCCATGCAACGCAGTCAATGTCCAGCGTACATGACTGTTTGAAGCATGTCGAAGAAACACACCTGTTTGAGTCAAACATCGCTGGCCAGCGCTATGATAGTCTACTCCAATCCGCAGAAGCAGAAGATATCATAGCATCAGACTCTCCTGACCTTGAAGCTGAATGGAAGCAGGCTTACGATCAGCGCCGAGACGAGTGGAAGAACCGCATAGTAGATACTCACAGTAACATACGAGGCACCACATCCAATGTTCTGAATCACCCAGATGAACCAAGGGTTGTAATCCGAGATGGTGAGATGTTTCACATCGATAATGTGAGCATACCATCTGTACCACGTATTGCTGGTGGCTCCCTCGCGCAAAGCACAACAAGTAGCAATCCTTCCTCAGTTAGCATTGACAGTATCATTGAAAAGTGGACGTTGAATACTGAGCAAGCACGTGCATTCAGGATTATAGCTGAGCATAGCGAGCAGCCACAACAATGTGCAGAGCCGCTGAGAATGTACCTTGGTGGTCCGGGAGGGACAGGTAAATCTAGGGTATTGAATGCTCTTCGAGACTTTTTTGCCCTGCGAAATGAAACACGACGCTTGCGAGTAGCAGCCTACACTGGTGCTGCTGCTCGCAGCATCGGTGGCACAACATTGCACGCAGTTCTATCACTTAATCAGCGCTCAGCAGGTTCAAATGTCAGTCTCGCGAGAACCAAGCGTGACCTCGTAGCGATGTGGGAAGGAGTTGATTATCTATTCATTGACGAAGTATCAATGATTGGATGTAAATTTCTATCCGAAATTCACGATGCCCTAGTCGAAGCAAAAGGCAACACCAGTGCATTTGGAGGTATCAATGTAATTTTCGCGGGATATTTTGCACAGCTACCGCCTGTCAAACAAACTCGTCTATTCGCCCGTGTAGATACAAGGTCACTCGCGGAAGGTGGAACGAAGGCTGGCCAAAAAGCAATATTTGGGAAGCTGCTCTGGTTATCAGTCACAAAAGTTGTGATACTGACGCAGGCGATGAGACAAGCAGGCAGTGCAAATAGATGCTTTGTTGACCTCCTGAACAGACTACAAGACGGCAGGTGCACTGACGAGGACTACAGACTTCTACAGTCACGCATCGTATCACGGGCCAATACGGACCTCAACAGCCCAGAATGGACCCTAGCGCCCATTATAGTTACAGACAACGCTCTCAAGGACGCGCTGAATGAGAAAGCTGCTGTGGCATTTGCGGAAAGGACGAATCGACAACTACATTGGTACTATGCAATAGACCTCCACAATGGCAAGCAGGTAACAGATCCTGAATTACGAGAGAAGTTAGAGTCCTTCAACTCAGGCCAAACGAATCAGCGGCTGGGAAAGATTCCGCTAGTCCCCGGAATGCCAGTGCTGGTCAACCAGAACTTTGACATTGATGGTGGCATTGTCAACGGAAGCACTGGAGTCCTCAAGAGAATCAGATTCTTCATGGACGAAAGCGGCCGTAGGTACCTGAAGTCTTGTATCGTCGAAATTTCGGATTCGACGGACAGGCCATTGCCACACTTGATGCCACACCATGTTCCAATTCTTCAAGACTCCACGGACTTAACATTCACCCACCCGCACTCTGGCAAAAAATGTCGTATCAAGAGGATTCAAGTTCTGATTTCACCCGCATTCGCAATGACCGCTCACAAGGCACAGAGACTTTCGCTGCCCCACCTCGTCATAGACCTGCATGGGACAAGAGGCACGGAGGCTCCCTATGTCATGGTTTCAAGAGCGACTTCGCTCGAAGGCCTTATGATTCTACGCGACTTCCTGAAATCGAAGATACGCTGCCACCCATCTCAAGAGGTGCGACAAGAGATGCAACGCTTGGAAATCCTACCCCTGCAAACGACAATGATGCATGGCACCCATGACGAAGCTGAATCAGCCAGAGCCCTGCTGTGGCAGATACGTCAAGACAGCACGCTGGCAATGGACGGTCGGGACGATCGGGCCTTGACAGATTGGGGAGAGGATCTCAATGATCTACTTGATCATATACAAAATGTGACATACATACAAGGTGAGTGAAGCTGAAATGACAGAAGTCAGCATGAGAACCGTGAGTGATGTTCCTTCGGAGGTGCAGGAAACAACGATGACTCTGCCAGTGGGCATACACAGGCAACATACCGCAAGCGCAAGGATAACCAGGATGGACAACACAATGACACTACCTCAGCGAAGCACCCCCGACGTACCTGATCGATCGCATAATGTGCAAAACATTGCAGGCGGTCGTCAAGTATCAGGGTACTCATGTTTCGATGTTGCCCAAGTTAGTGCACCGAACCTTCTCGAATAGCCGCTATCCA